AAAACTGGAACATTCTGTTGCTTTGGGTTACTCTGATTATAGTGATACAGCATGGCTGATGTGGATTTTCAAGAAAAAAGACCCAAGAAGTCTGCAGACATTCCTTTTAAAGATGCTACTTTGTACTTCATAAAAAATGGTTTTTGGGATATAAAATATTGATAAACTGTCCTGTGATCTGATATTATTTGTACTAAAACAAATCCATAATTCTTTCTCTAATATTCCTACAGTACCTTTAGGTCGCTGTCACACTAAGTATGCACATTTTTTGCTTTCTTTTGAGACGCACAGCAACAGTACAATGTCTTGCAAAAGATAACGTGATATGTCTTCAACTCTTCCACATTTGTCTCTTTAAAACCACTAAATTTAATCAATTTTAAGGTGTTTAAGGTAAAAAAAATTATCACAGAAAATTTTAGGTGGCATGTTTGAATGCGTCCTGAAGCACTATTCAACCATCATCTGAAGGCACACAACATACCACGAAATGGTTGTTGGACTAAACTGACAGACTGTTCAAGAAGATCATTAGAAGGTTAAATTCATGAAGAAGACCATTAATTTCACCTAATTCATATAAACACAAATTTTGTCATTATAAAAAAGTTGACAACCAAAGTTATGCAGAATTTGGGCATATTAAATACAGATTACATATGCATACCACACACATTAGTTCTTTATTTTCAAAGTAAAAATTAAAAAGGTGTAATTTTTATGCAGTTTACATGTACATAATGTCAAAATTAATGAAGGAAAGGTGAATCCTACCAGTTTTTTTTCTTAATAATTAGAATAATCCATAATTTCTAAACTGAAAGCATTTTTTCTTAACTCTTTTTAAAACTTGATTAGAGATTAAATTAAGCAAAATAAATGAAAGCTTTTCATCAGCTGATGGTCCAAGAACTTTTTGTAGAAAACCTTTTCAATCAATGTGTCTTTAAAAATTCCTAGATTGAACATTAAATAATTTTCTCTTCTTAAAAAACAAGACCCTTTAGTAACATTTGTTTAGGACAGTTTTTGATTGGGAATGATTTTTTAATGAAAAGAGCCCTTTGTAAAACTTAGCAAACTTTTTATACAATGAATAAAGACTCCTTGCTGTACAGCCATCTATAGACACATATACCACTGAATGTTAAGTATCAGTTAACATTTCTGTTTTAAGTCCAGACATCTAAAAAAAAAAAAAAAAAAAAAAACTTTTTAGCTTCATATAGTTGCTACTTTTACTACCTGTGAAATACATGGATCCCAATATAGAGACGTGTCCAAAACATAGTATGTATTCCCACTAACAACAAAGTAGAACAAAAGCGGAAATAGTCTGTGGAGTTGTGCATGTCTACAGGTTTTTTACTTACCTTCATGCAAATAAATTAATGTGCGGATTACACACTTTCTGCTTTTGGGAGCATCATAGAGAGCTTTGATGTATTTTGACATTAATATTTTTTCATAAGGCTTTCATCAACTGTTAAAAATTGTTTTGTTAAGATACATACATTCTGTAAATTTTGAGAATCTTGTTTTGGTTTTGATGAGTAAAAAGGTCAAAATTTATAAAAAAAATATATTACTAATCTGTTCTTTACGAGTTTTTTAAATTCCTTACCATTTAAAAATGTATCAGATTTAAAAATAGTTCATATTTGTTGTTCAAGAAAACCTATTTTAAGCAGACTAGAAGAGGACTTTGTCGTTTTTACTATGTTCCCTGAATGTCACATAGGTTTGTTGAAGGTGTGCACGGTGCAGCGGTGGCAGGTTCAAAACCTACTTTTGATTTGTGCAAAGTGTCAATCTCGTTCAGTTTTGTTTGACATTGGAAGAAGCGTTTTATTTTGCCCAATCAGATGGGAGTGGGCGGGATTAATGGTACCCGAAGTGAAACGTAGGCGTTCGAGCTGCAGCGCGAACAGCGCAGCAGATATGTGGCGAAAACAAAGTAAAGCTATCCATTACAACCGTTAATGGAGATTTACTGTCTGTAAAGGACTTTAGGAAGCATATGAAAGGTAAATGCCTGTGTCTGTGTAGAAAAAAACCATGTTATGTACAGCTAGTTTTTAGCTAGCAGCTAGCGCGATGTAGCAGCCATTACAGTGACGTAGCAGCTTATTTTGTATGTTGAAATGCTTACATTAGAGAGGCTTGTTAAATTGCTTAATGGCTCAATATGAGGAAAGTGTGAGTCATACTAAGACCTGTTAATGTGTACAGTGGGCCATCAACTTCCCTTTGGGGCTGCTGGACCAACAGAAGTTCCCCATTCGACTGTTTGGATTCCTATTTGTGAGGTTGCTGTCATGAAGGATCTCGACGTTCAAGTTGACGTCACCTCCCTACTTACCTTGCTCAGCGCCATTTTTAAAGGAATTTCCACATCTACCTTTCCGAAGGACTTGTGAGTACAAAACCAAACCAATGAATGTGTGTTTGTTTATTTTATTTGCTCTGCAAGGAAACAAGCTGTTTGTTTTTAGCTCCAATGCGCCAAGTATTGATTCAGGCCTGAAATGGTTTATTTAGTGGTTGAATGTTTTAGCTGAAACATTGACGATTGATATGGCGTGAAATTGTGGTTCAAATCACCATAACTGAAAGGACAGCACTATGAAAATCTTTTTTTTTTTCAAATGTGATGCAAATTAATTGTATTTGCATTTTTCCCCCCATACTTAAAGTGTTGTTTAAACTTAAATTCTGCATCAGGGTCTTGTTTTCCAAGTGTTTTGTTTTCCAAGTGTATTTGACATACATTTATCTAAACTAAATTCTTAGTGGCTTAAACAAAGTATCTATTCAGAAGATTGAGAGAAAAGTATTAATGCAATATAAATACCAAGTTGCATCTCCTGTAAACTGGTAGTACAATAATCTGTAAAATGACTTTTCCAGAGCCTCGTCTAGTGTACTACATTCTAATCTAATCTCTTGATTAATTCTTGTATTCTATAGCAATGAATCAAGAAGGTAAATTAAGTCAATTTTTTTGACAAGTTAAAATTTTGTTTTGTACAAAATTTTAACTTTGTCTTCTTCTCCTACTACTTATACTGCAACACTACCAAGGTCAACATATATTTTTAATTCCCCTTTCATTTTACCGGCATTATATTGAAACTAGGAGGAATAATATGTCAAAGCTAATGTTGGGATAAGAACAATCATTTAATTCAAATAGCTGTCAAATCAAAGGCTAAATTGTAGGTAGTAAGGAAAGGTCATTAGTTTAAGAAGGATTTTTATATTTAATTTTTTACTCCACCTTAAAAAACCCACACAGTCCTTTGGTGCTAGGTGGTCTTTGAAGTTGGCTCAGGAAGGCAGCTCTGATTGATGAGATTTCTCTAGATGCTAATGTGAGTTTAATCAGATTTGGTTCGATTTGCTTCCTGATATTTTTCTTCCACTGTACCCTCGGCACCCACATTATCAAACAGCATAACTTTCACTTTGATACAAACGACCCATGTGGGAAAAAAACAAAGGCGTTAAAGGTGATGCATTATTGTTTAAGCAATTTTTTTTTTCTGTACCTCACAGGCAGCTTTTGCACCTGATACCTGAATTATGAAAATGGCAGATATTAACAAGCCTTACCCTGCTTTGAAAATATTATGTCAAGCATAACTGTGTTTAATTGAATAACATTAGTGCAGGAATTTGCCTATTTGCTTTTTGCTTTGATGTGAAATGCCGTGTAAACAGAAAAAGCCAAAATATGCCGAAAAAAAAACATACTATTTTTTTTTTAATCATAAACTACTACTAAAGTTCTTTACCTTCTTAGCAAAACACATCTGAGTTATGGTAAAATATAGCTTTAGTAGGCATGGGAATAAAGTAAATAGGAGGCAGCTGAATGCAGAAAAGTTTGATGAAAATTGAACGAGCCAGCTGTTACAGCGTGTTTTGTCATGCACAATGAATAAGCTTTAATCTAGAGCTCATATTTGTGTTGCCTGAAACAAGCAAAATGAATAATACAGCCCATATTATGAGAGAGTGAAAATTATGAATACCAAAATGCACTGAAGGGTTGATTGAGCACACTTGCTCATCTGCTTACCTGTTTCAACTCATCCAAAACCTCATACACCTGGAAGTTGGCAATACTTGTTTTTATTGCTTGTGTTTTGTGATCCTTTTCTTAATTTATTCCACATTTTCTAATAAGATTAAGCATTGGCCCATAGGAAATTATGACGATGTGATAACCTTAAGTAAAAATATTATGTTATCAAGGTGTTATTACAGATGCGTGGTATTTTGCATTTTCTTTAGCATGCTTTGATGTCGAGGCAATTTGCTTAAGTTTGCTGAATTGCAAACTGATCTTCACCCTTTGTCATGAGCTGTTGCAATGCAACTGCTATTCTAAAGGAACAATTGGGATCAACGTATAACTTTAACCATAAGTTCTGTAGTGTGTAATTGTATTTGGAAGCTGTTCTTAGATCACGGGTTTGATGCTGAAATTTCATTCCACTGTAGTGTGTGTGTTCATACTTAGGATTTTTGGCATGCAGAATAATTAACCTATACTGATGAGGTTTACGTCTAGTAGAATAACTGTTTCTACTGCTTTAATAACCAAGACAAATCAGATTATACTGTCAAGTTTTTTGCTCTCTTTAAACCACCTCAGCTTCTGCCCAAACTTGAAAAAGCTTACTTCCCTCAAAGAAATGCAGGAACCACTCATCTCAGCAACATCTTTTATTTATCTTTTCTTTTTGTCTTTAGATTATTTCAATTGACGGTGTAAGACCACCATGACTTCGCAGAAGTAGTCAGAGTAGTCACAAACCAGGTTGAAAACCTACAAACAAANTGCCATATTTCCATTAAGCAAATTTATTTTTGTAATTTCAATTTCTGCAATTTTATGGTTAATGGAAATGCAGCAACTGGTAACTACTATTTGTTTGTTAAACTATTTAAGTAGTCATTTAGAATAGTTTTTCAAATGAGTCTGAAATATTGGTGGATTTCACCGAATCATGGGGGGTTGTGAAATGTGAAATACATGAAGGTCCATGCATTCCTAAAAACAAAAAAAATATTTACATCTGCAGTCAAACGTCTTACACTACTCAGGGTTTATTTTGTTTGTTTTTTTTACCTTAGCAGTTTAGTTTGTCAGTAGCTGTAAAAGTCTGGTTTGCCAACTCTTTTGTGCTGTAGATCCTGATAGGAGAAGCCATCCTGTACTGCTATCTGTCCAGGAGGTCGTCAACCACTCAGACTGAAGCTAACATCAACGCCGCAGGCTGTAATTTCAACTCCTACATTCGCAGAGCTGTCCGCTTTATAGGTGGGAGAATATATGCCTTGTACCACAACAGATTAGAAACATCTCCATAGTGTCTGTAAGAAACATAAAACCAGCAGCTCATCACCAAGCTGCTGTTTTCCAGTGTGAGAGGATATGATGGCAAGCAGAACAACTGAAGAAAGCAAAACGACTACAAAATATGTGTATTAATCTGTAGGTGTAGACGTTGTACATTAACGTATGATTATTAACACAAGCATGCTTTGAACGGGCTCTGTTGCATAGGCGTCCATATCTTTGGCCTGTGTGTGACGGCTCTGATAACGGACATCCTCCAGCTGTCCACTGGGCAGCATGCGCCCTACTGGCTGGATGTGTGCAAACCCAACTTGACCCACATTAACATGTCGAGCTGTGATGAAGCCTTCATTCTGGAGGATATCTGTTCCGGACCGGACCTCGGACTCATCAACGCTGGGAGGTGAGGCTCAATGAGCCACTCAGGATGTCAGCGGATGCTTGTGGGAGTGTGAAGATTATTTTTCGAGTTCATCGTCTTGGTAGTCGCACCGACTCACATAGGGTTCAATTTTGTCATCACAGTTTTTTGTGACCTCTTTGTTCTCAGTTCACTAATGGCCATATAAAGAAAATTCAAAATCAAATCAATTGTTGTGTTCCACATTATATACTTCTTTTTGTATATGTGCATATGCATTGAATAGAGATACCCAAAACAATTTTCTCCCAGATCAGGTTTCCTCAGTCGATGCCTTAACAAGAGATGGTAGTAAGGGTTCATGCAGTGACAATACATTCAGACGGGACAAGTCTATTCATTTTGATCCGTCAGCCAGTCGTCATAATTATCTTCTTAAAATCAAGAATACTCTCTGAGCTGGATTGAAAATCAACTGGTCATCACTATTAATAGTGGGACCGTTGCTTTTCAGGTTTGGGTCTTGGGTAAACATTTTACTGAAAGCCTTTCTGTAACATCAGAATGGCTGGTGTTGATATTTCTTTGGTTCTAATGAGAAGTCGATTTCATTGTTAGAAGCTCCACTAAAGGAAAAACAGCTTACACAAATTGGAACTGCTACCCTGATTACACACTGCTCTTATAGCACATCACAGCTAACATGGAAGTAAATGCTAGTTTTAACATTCTTGGGTCTTTTCCAAGAATGTTATCTATATTTAGATATTTTTAAAAAGCTACTCGGGTTTATCTCATTATTTTTGGGAATAGGAACATTCAAATTATTTGTTGATCTGGACATGAGATACTTTTCGGTAGATATTTGTTCAATTAAATTAAATTCAGTTTTTTTAACATAGCGCCTATCTACAACAGATGTCGTCTCAAGGCGCTTCATAGAAAAAAAGTATTTTTAATCCAATTATACAGACAGATTAAAATCAATTGTACATATTCAAAAGGGCTAAAAAGTGTCCTACTTACCCAGCAGATTGGTTCAAGTTATTGATTTGATGCAATCAGCATTCACTCCTCCTGAATGAGCATGTGGCCACAATGGACAGTTGGTGTCATTGCAGCAATCCCTCATGCTGAGCATCAGTATTTCTGGATAAAAATAGCTGAGTATCATCAGGATAATAGTGGAAATTTATCCAACTTAGCCTTGGGCTGTTTCCTTGATCACTACAATATGTTCAGGCCTTTATAATGCAAGGATCAACTGGATCAAATGCAGCTACAAGAGGATTTATTATCAACATGAACAAACTAATCATCAGGACACGAAGTAGCAACAACTGTGTGTTAAACAATGTAATGTGTTTTCACCAATCCAGGCCAAAGCTACATTTTAAACCACACTAAAGAGGCATAATGTGTCATGATGTGTGGTTAAGAGATGGTGAGATGCATTGGACCCAGGTTATGGTGAAATTTGTAGTTTTAATGATGACAACTGGAATAACTCAAAACAGGCACTGGGGAGACACAGGGTACCACGACAAATGACAGAACAGACAGGACCCAACAAGGAAACAAGAGACACAGGTGGATTTAAATACACAGAGTGTAATCAGGGAACAAGACACAGCTGGGATCAATCAAGGTTAGACGGGACAACAGGGAAACTCAACAGAACAGAGAAACCTAAATTAACACCGGAAAAAACAAATCCTCATGTAATTTGGCCTTCACTGATATTCTTTTACATGCTGCATTTATTAAACACCTGCTAGTGCAGTGTTGCCATACACATAATCATCCAAGTTTCTTTGAAAGTCACATTCCTCTTTTAGATAAATACTCAGGGTTGTCCTTGGCTGTGTGAACATGGTGCAGAACACTCAGCTTTCCTTGCTTTTTGTCTTTTAGGAAGTCTTTTCCATCCCAGCATGCCACACTGGCTGCCTTTGCTGCCGTCTACATCTCTGTAAGTAGTCTTTGCACTTTCATATGTGCAGAGTGAAGCAAGGAAATGCTGAACTCTGTCATTATTGTTAAAAAATGATCAGAAATAAGTGGTACACTTGTAACCATGTCTCTTAGATGTACTTCAACACAGTGCTGACAGACTCAGCCAAGCTACTGAAGCCTCTGCTGGTTTTCTCTTTCGTCATGCTGGCCATCCTGGCCGGATTGACCCGGATCATTCAGTTCAGAAACCACCCCGTGGATGTGTACTGTGGCTGGTTACTGGGAGCTGCCATCGCTGTTTATTTGGTAAAAGCCATGTTTCAGTATTGAGAGAATATACTTTAATTTGATAGAAGGGAGTCAGTCAATAGCACACACCACAAGGCCGCCAGTACCAGTCAAGGTTGACTGGTACTCTCTTGTCTTTGTTGCTCTAGTTATGGCCGATTTTAATATTAAATCTGAATGTGAACAACATGCTGAGGCAACATATCTCAAAATGAATTGTTTGATTCAGTTCCTGACAGTTTTTGGTTCAGTTCATATTTCTTTACACTTGTTTCATCAACACTAGCAAGATAATAAATATCAACTTAAGGAGGTTAGGGAGAGCTTAATGCTGGCTGCTGATCCATCCCTCTGCCCATTTAGAAGGGCGAACTGAAACTGGGAGCTGGTAGTCGGTGTCTTGTTTGTTCCACTGAGCTGTATGGCACAGGTTGGTGCATTCAGTACATTACTTTGTCTTTCCATTGTAAAAAGTGACCTATGCCGCTTCATTCCTGGGCTCCCTTCAGCTGCAGCTCCATAACACAGCGGTACTGGACAGTTAGAGTGGAGCTCTGGGTGTCACACAACTCAGTCCATTGATTGGGAGACAGCATGAGACATTCTAGTGCGCCACCTTTTTCTGAGTATAACGCTTCATTAGACTTTTAGGTTTAACTCCACCTGCCCAACTGGCAGTAGAAATGCTCTCCCGAGGAAGGAGGACCATACTAATGTATGGTCTTAACATTACATTGTCTTAACACTAATGTGTTGGCCTTTTGTAAATTACTATTTTAGTAATCTGTCAATTATTCTGATGATTAATCAAGTAATTGAATACATTTATAAAAAAAGGTGGTAAATATTTTATCCATATTTTATTGGTAAAATATTACAGTATTTTACTGTAATATTACAGTAAAATATTACAGTATCAATATCGGATATCAAGAGCGGCCCAATTTTTCATATTTGAGCATCCCTAACAATTACTTTTTAGTAGCTTAGACAATTAAAAAGTAACAATAGCAGCTCACTTTTTAAATTAACCTAGACAAAAATCATAAAAATTTGAAATTATATTTAATTTAATAAACATTCACAAAGACACTTCTAAAAAATTGTCTACACTTCAGTTTTTAGTTTATGTATTCATCTTCAGTCAATTTAATAACTGAACTCTCACTTTGCACAGCCATTTATAGCTTCTTTGTTTATATCTGTATATGTATACAGGTGAGTCTCTGCTTCACCTGTATCCATACACCTGCCAGACTCTTCACTGCCGTTTGCTCCAAACTGGTCACGAAGCAGCAGCAGCTCTGGAGGAAAAAGTCTGTTGTATTCCAGGCATCATGCCAGTCATTTTAAGGATGCCTATTGGTCGTCCCATAAATGATTAAAAACCCGGACATTATCATTAGTCAATAAAAGTCTCCTGGATCAAACTTGAAAATTGGACACTACACTGCTAGCACTTAGCATTCATCAACAACTCATAGGCAGAAGTGAGAGCATAGCACAATACAAATAATAATCACCGGCCGGAACACGGTGCACTAAATAGTAAATCATTGTCAAGTTTTTGTTCTCTCTAAACCACCTCAGCTTCTGCCCAAACTTGAAAAAGCTTCCTTCCCTCAAAGAAATGCAGGAACCACTCATCTCAGCAACATCTTTTATTTATCTTTTCTTTTCATCTTTAGATTATTTCAATTGACAGTGTAAGACCACCATGACTTCACATACGCAGTCAGAATAGTCACAGAGCAGGTTGAAAACCTACAAACAAAAGAAACAAAATCAATTACAGATCACAATGAACTAATTAACTAGTTTTCCAGGTAATGTTAATCTACTTTTAAGTTAACAGTGAATGAACAAACAAATAAAATATATTCCAAACACATAAAACCCATTGAATCACAAGGCTAATTTGGTCTTCTGAATGCAGATTAAATGATATAAACTGTGCATAATGTCCAGTCCCTACCAGTGATGTCTTTGTGGAAGCTTGAAGCTGAGGCTCTTTGTCTGCAGAGATCATTGTGAGCACAGGTGTGCCAAGTTACCTTATAGACTTCAGATGGGCCTGAGTGGAAGGGATGGGTGCGCTTGATTCTCTGTGATGTGTGTGGCAGTTGGGTGGAGATAGTAAATGCACTCACAAGTGTACCATTTGCTGTTTTAACTTGACAAACATAATTTAACTAAGTGTCGAGGCAGATAATTTCCTCTAGTAACACCAGTTGTTACTAGTGGAAACACAAAGTGTTGGTGCGTAACAAGTTCTATCACCATTTAAGCACTGGAACCAGTTTCCCTCAAACAGTTGTTTCCAATTGTTCCAATTTTTGTACATGAACCCTTTCACACTGAACATACTTGTATTTAAATTTGATATGATATTGATAGGTTTTCTATCTATTATCACACCTGCAGCCACTCTCACTCACCTCAGTAGCATCACTTGAAAGTTGGTGAGCTCTACATGTAGCAGCAGAAAGGTTGGCTTACTTTGAACATTTGAGCTTTATCAGGGCAAACAAAAATCTTCTTTATGAAGGATTGCTACAAAGTCAACGACACCAAGCAAGTGATTGTTGCTACGTGACTTGATGCAATAATCGTCTGGATTTCCTTATATAGAAACTTTAACCTAATTTCAATGATAAAATGAAATTGATGCACTTCTTGAAAACTAGGATCAGTTGGAATGTTTGTTTGATTGAATTGATTTTAAACCTTATGCCCACTTTTCATTTTTTTTATGTTTGTGTTCTTTGAACTGTTTTGCACTGGATGTTGGTCACATTATATGCAAAAAAAGACTTTAATAACAGTATCCTGTTCGTTTAATTTTTTTTTACATCACAAAATCCTGGCATTTTAACAGAGGTGTGGGACATAACTAACTAGAAACAGTCTGATGTGTATTTCCTTGAAAATGTAGATCTTACCTCTAAGACTTCCAAAAGACTACTAACATTTTAAAATCTAGTCTGTTAAATTTCAGTGAATGTGAAAATATATGGCCTTTCAGTCTTCCTTACATGGTAGCAGTGCCCAGAGTACTGTTGCCTATGTTGCGTTCAAGAAATGAACAAAGAAAAAAAAACTGTGCACATCGCATGTACAGGCCTCACATCATGAGACCTGCACATGAGCTACAAGAACAGAAAAATGATAAAATCCAGCAAACACTTGGGACTCCCTCTAAGATGCCTTTAACTTCCTATTTTAATAATTCAATTACCAAATATACATTAAAATGCATTAATAGTTTCAGTAGAAACCATCTTTTCACTACAGTTGAAACAAATATTTATGGTCCTTTTTATGTCCCTCTTGGGGTTACAATTAATCAGCACCAAGGAAAATGATTGCTGTTCCTGCATTGGCTGCTTTGCAAATACAGGCAGTAGTGTACTAGAAGCATTGTGCATAGGTATTTCAGCTTTCCAACCTGCATTTTCTAAGGCATTTTCAGACATGCCTTATAAAAAAATCTAATCAATCAATCAATCAAT